TCTCTTTATATCTGATAACTTGTACAAAAAACACAAATTAGGCAACAAAAAAATAAGTTTATCAACAAGATCTTTTTAAAAAACCTGACTAAAAAACTATAAATTCGACCATATTTAAGAAACTAGAGCTGATTAAGTCTAGCCAATGCAATTTTCTGAATCAGTGCCCCAAATAACCCAAAGAACAGGCCTAAAAGCCAAGGCACTGAGAAAAAAATATTTCTTTTGTTGGACTAATAAAAAATCCAGGAGGTATTTGCCACCAAAGGAAGGCCCGATTTTTCCTGAAAAGTGCAAGGAATAATTCACCTGGATAATTGCAATTATATATACAGTTTTACACATTTCAAAAATGCAAAACTGCATTCAGGCATTAAGATTTGTTTTACTTTTAAATATTATGGGTTTATAATATATGCCCAATATGCTTCATTAAACAATCAAGCGCACTCAGCACCCCTTTCAATGTGACACAGTGGGAATGTCACCTAACCACTTTGATCTGGAGGACTGGAGTAAAACCTGGTCAACTGTAGAGAAATGCTCCTTTAATATGGCAACCCTCATATCTGCCAACAAGGTACAGTTGTTGTGGTATTGGGTCCCTGCCCGGTAAGTCCACGCGAAACGTGGATGCAGTGATAGATGCTTCAAGAATTGTGGCCAGCGAAGGGATGTAATGCACACCTCGTGATCCTTCACTGGTTTCTGGTGCAGGGTCTTTGGCCTGTTACATACTTTATTTCATCTGATGATTTGTAAGGATGCTAAATTAGTGACCTGTTTAAGTTTGCTAAACAGACTATGGCTCAGGCCTGAAAGAAACCATCAGTCCCATTTCAAGGAGTAAAAGATTGTACGACTGCTTTATTGGCAAACAAAAAATGTGCAGTATCTAAAAGACCCAAATTTCATTCCAAATATCTTAAAACCTGGGAACCCTGTATCAATTACTCCCTACCTTCTCTTCTTCCAAACAGTTTAGGCCACTCATAATGCAGTACATGAGGTGGCCCTGTGTTTGGGAAGGGGGGGGGGGGGGGGGCGACTTCCCCTCCCATTCTCCCCCCTCCTCACCCTTCCTTTTTTCTGGTTCTCTCTCCTTAGAATGTTTTGTCAGGATCTCTGGCTCCAGGGAACTTTCCGGGAATATGAACACCCGATTGTTGTTGTCCAGGATCCCATACACTCAATTGAATTTGATTGCTTATGTTTACTCTGACTAATGTTCTATGTAATTGTGTTCCCTGCATGGAAAAACTTGAGCCTGTTATCCTCTGAAAACTAAATAAAATAATTTCACAGGAAAAAAAAAATATCTACTAAAAAAGATAGACATTCTATAAAACTAGGGTTCAGTGAGAGGTCCCCAGGGGTTCCATGGTGATCTGTCAGTCACCGGCTGCTGATGGGTAGACCACATCCCTTCCATTGTACACTGGATGTGTGCAACTAAACCCCCTTGTTTTTAACATTAACTGTCAAACAGGGTCTATTTGATTCTGTTGCAGGCTAGCTGGTAAGTGAACTGGGAATTTGTTTTTGATGTGTGTTGCCCTTCCATGTGCTCCTTGCCACAAAGGCTAGTTAGAGGTTGGGGTGGTTGCCATTTGGTTTGTACATGTGCTCTGGTCCCATGCAAGGTGCCATGATACTATATAAAGGTGTTCTGATCCCATGGAAGCAGGGCTGGCGCTAGACTATTTTGCACCCTGGGCAAGACCAGCTACTTGCACCCCCCCCCCCCCCCCCCCCCAAAAAAAACCATAACCTGTAGTTCTACTTCACCTTCTAGTGACTACCTTCTTTCCCCTCACTTTCCACCCTTGCACAAATCCTCCCCCAAATCCCCATTTCCTTTCCTAGCACAAAACCTCAACACAATTACCCCCCCCCCCCCCCTTTGTGCAGTTCCCCTAGCCTGTAAGCTCTCCCCCCAAACTAACTGGCAGGAATGAATCACATGGAACATGCTGATGTAAGTGATCCTGTGTCATTGGCTATATGGAGGATCACTCCACTGGTAGGAGAGGGAAAGCATCACCTGCACCTCCCAGCTCTCTCCTGTCATGCCAGCCTTAGAAAGACAACCGAAATCGGGGGGGGGGGGGGGGGGGGGGGGGAGAGGCCCACACCAGCACCCCCTAGAGCCAGCCACAGCAGGGAGTAGTGTATCCATGGCTGTGCCCTGGACAGCCGTGCACCCTAGACGGAGGTCTAGTTCACCTAGTGGTAGAGCTAGCCCTGTATGTCAGGTGCTCTGATTCTATGTGATCAGTGACAGCAGATAAATGCAGTTTCCGGCTGCACTTTCCTCACGCTGTCACATCATGAGGAACGTACTGCCGATAACCAGCAATTGTCAGAAAAGATCAGCACTGATCATCAGGGCACAATCAGATAAATTTAGTAGTCCTTTGGTTTTGTCTTACAGTTCTGAATCTGGACAAATATAGTCAATAAATATTTACAGATTTTATACAAAAGACAATATTTGTTTCAAAATTCTGAACAAGGATATTAACATTTCCAGAAGGGTACCTTCTCTGGGCAGGACCTTATCCCTAAGTTTTTTTTTCAATCCAACAGATTTCATCTACTTGGCTTTCAGGGCAATTTAAAATGTGGTGCATTGGATTGCTTGTCCTGTTCCCACATGATTAGTTTGTTCTACCAGTAATAGAAAAGTCTTACATTAAAAAAATGTTTTAATTGTAACACCAAATATGTCATTTCTCTCATCACCTGCCTTGCTCATCATACACAATATGCAGAACAAATAGAAAGCTGAAGGATAGGTTTTGTGAACATCTGGGGGTGAGAAAAATTGTTCCACCAATGTATCTAGACCTCAACTCTTTACAAGGTGGTGATTGCTCCATAGTTGGCATCCAAGTGATAAAGGGTTAAGACTGCTAGGGGGGGGGTGACACCTTTTGTGTTCTGTGCAGTTTTTTTTGGATTTTTTCATTTGTAGACACACATCCCTCAAGGGCTGAATGCCGAAGGATTTTACTCATTTTTGTGAGTATGGTTGATTTTATTATATTTTTTTATTATATATATTTATGTTTTTTTCCCTTCCTGCACCGTAAATAAGGGTTTTAAGGTATCCCTGCTTATTATGCCAGTTCCAAAGTTTATATATTTGATTTGTTCTAGGTACGACGCATATCAGAGTGTGCGTTATCATTTCTGTCAGTATATGTGCCATGTTTTTTAAACTTGTGTCATGTGATTTGTATACCGTTATTCCTGATTCAAGTTTAATTGCCAATTGTCATCAGCTGTTATTACTGATTTTCACTTGTCAAGAAGCTTTAAACAGAATATGACTAAGCACATGTTTGTGTGAAACACGTCTACTGCTCCTCTGTCCTGTTCTTATATTGCATGTAAAGGATTCCAATAAAAAGTATTTTATCCACCACATTGCTGTTTGTGCAGCCAACCATTGTTTTTCCATCGCATCTGTGATCAGATTGGGCCAGCACCTGCGTGTCTGGAGGGGTTATGCAGATTTGGCACTCACCTGGAGTGAATATTTTGCCCTTTCATGCAGTGAAGCATCCCCATGGACATTGCAGCCTGTTATTTTATAAAATTGTGCATAAAATGCAGGCAGAGTGTAAACATTTGTGTCAACATCCACATTACATCACTAGCACCCAAATTAGGTATGAATGTGGCTGCCATTTATAGGGCAAAACAGGTCAGTCATTCTGATGATCCCATTGTCAGCTGCAGACAAAGCAGCATTTTTGGACATGGATACAATTCTAGCCCAACTCCAAGTTATGGTGATCATCAACTAGCTTGGAACAAAGAATTTCCTTCACTAAAGCACTATCAACTGCATGTAGCCTAAGAAACATAGTGTTGTGTTTGGCAGTAGGATGGGACATCCTATCCTGCTCCCAGACCAAAATCAAGTTCGCCTAAGCACTGCCTTTTATTTTCTAGGTTTCCTCTGATTGGCTGAGATTGTGAGGGTCTCTCGCCACATCAGCCAACCAGAGAACATTCTTAGAATTCGGTTTAATAGTTTGTGCAATGATTCATAAGTGGAAGACAGACAATAGTTTCTGCACTACATGTTGATATGCAACATTCAATTCTTCCTCCACTGTACTTGTACGCAGCCAAGGAAAAGTCTTAATTGCTACAAGCAGACTGTCCCATCCAACCAGAATACAAGATGCCAGTAAACCAGAAGGGGAAACTGGAGCATGTCCCAATTCAAAACCTGTGATTTTGTATGGCATAGTCCGTTTGGTATTTTGAATTTGTACAGCACCAAACTTTCTTAGAAACAGGGCTGCAGCCTAAATGTGAATACGAAGACATTGAGTAAAGACATGCTGCCTTGTACATAGGACAATATTAAGCAATAAGCACATTATATAGTTTATTTAATAGTACACTTTAAAACACAATGTTACAATTACACAAATTCATGTATAACACTCAAGATAAATGTGCACACAGGAGCAGCCTAATGCAAAGTGACCTTAAATCAAGTTACAGCAAAAACAGATTAGATCAGGTATAATTCACAAATCTCCCCTATATGTCACCAAAAATCCAGTAGGAACCATGCAAAGGTTTTTTTTTTCCCCAGATATAAAACATGAATCAGTTGTGGCTCATGCAGCAAACAGTTTATATGCTTATAGGAGGTGAACCATAGCACAGAAACCCACTACAAGAGAAAAACAAAAAAAGGCTAAGTGTACAGGACAGGAACACTTGTTCAGCAAGACTACTATATAGGGCAATGCTATACAAGACAAGGAAAAACATTACATAGCTGGGCTTAATACATAAAGAATAAATATACATCTGCCATTACAAACATGTATACTGTACATCTCGTCCCATCCCAACTGAAACTGCTAAAGCCATTTATCCACTTGTGAGGTCAGCCTTAGCCAACTCTTAAATTGTCCTTTTTATTTGCCAAGTTTACACATTTGCAGGTTGGATCCCATCCTGAATATTTAGAAGAACTCTCCAACATCTGCTCTCTTGTCACGCAGTTTGCTTCTAGCTTTTGTGCGAGCTTTGAATGCAGCAGAGTTGTTCATGTGCTTAAGTGGTGAAAAATAAATTTCGGTTAAAAAAACAAAAGCATCTTGCATATCCAAGAAATCTGAATTGTCAGCGATTGTAGTTTCTTGTACAAATGCCAATTGTTATCTATTGTCAAAGTCAAGCCTTTGTTAAACGCATTACACCTGCCCCATCAACAATTTTCCATGCAGCTCACCTACTGTAAACACTGACGGGAGAGGTCTGTATGTAAACACAGATCTCTCCCATCACCAGCATACCACTTTGTATTGCTCTGCATAGCAGAGCAATACAAAGCAGCATGCTTGCATAGTAAACCACACACTGCACACTTCGTAAAACAGCACATAGCTAACCCTTTGATCGCCCAGATGTAAGCCCCCTTCCTGCCCAGTGTCATTAGTACAGTGTCAGTGCTTTTTATTAGCAACAATCACTGTATTAGGGTCATTGGGGATGTCCGTGACAGTTAGTCAGTTTCCACCCAGTGTCAGAATGCCTGCCGCAGTCCCGCTATAACTTGTGTACAGGGATTTTTTTTTTTTTTTTTTTTTTTTTTTTTTTTTTTTTTTTTAATTCTTTTTAAGCAAACATGTAGCAGAATACATTTTGGCTTAAATTTGAACAATTTAATTTAAATTTTTTACTTTAGAAAAAAAAAAAAAAAGGATGTAAACTTCAATTGGGCAGTGTTGCATGACTGCACAATTGTCATTTAAAGTAATGCAGTGCCGTATTGCAAAAAAATAGCCTGTCAGGAAGGGGGGTGTATCCTCTGTCCCCTATGTGATGGAAAAAGTAAAGTTTTTGTAAAAAAATTTAACCACTTGCCTTTTAAAGTCCCTTATGTGATGATTTTTGGGTCTCTAAGGACATTCGGGGTCTAAAAAAAAAAAAAAAAAAACCCTGCATGTCTCCCCTGTGCTTAACTGAAATCACTGCAGATCGCACTGCATTACATTCTTTCCTGGCCTCAATGTTCAAGGACCCGTACGTGAAGGCATACATGTCACTTCTGGGTCAGGAACAAGGGGAGGAGAGAGGACATGTGTCCGCTGTCCTCCATCCTCTACCCGCCAACACCCACTATGCATGTACTGGGCCCGCAGTTGGGAATGCGGAGCCCGGGATACATAGTGGGCGGGAATTGAGCATCCCTGTCAGTGTAATGAATTTATTACTTCAGACATCAGTGTCTTATCAAAGCTCCAAAAAAATAAAGTGCTATACAGTTATTGCTAGGATATGCAAGTTCACAACTTACTCTTTCAACACGGGAGGTTTTCATTGCTCCAATATCAGCTGCACTCAAGCACAAAGGTGGTCCAAGCTCAAAAATACTGCGCAGAAAGCCATTTGTCTAAAAAGGGAAAAAAAAAAAAAATCTATGTATATGAACTGTATTTGGGTGCCACATAGCGACATAAATAAATCCTTTAATGCAGTGCTCACCTATGTAAAATACAAGTTAGAATCATTTGTTCATGCATCAAACTAGGTAAACTGTACTGCAACAATTACTACTACACTGTTCTCAGCGTGAACAAGAACAGTAACAGTTCTGATTTAGGACTAGCTTTAAATGAGAAAATGGGCTCCCCGGCTAAAACTGCTATTCATGTATCCATTGCTGCGGTTGTATATATTGTATGTATGTTTCAAAATAGAGTTTCTCAGAGTAGGGACCACACTGTACAGAGGTGCCTTGATGAAGCAGTGGGGTTCTCACATATACAGCATTTGTAAATGTTGTGCTACTAAACCCTGTTTAATGCATACTAATTTAATTTCTGGTTAGCTGGAAAGGTACATTGGGTTAAGTGACCCAGTAATCACTAGATCACTAGATTCCTCTTCTAGTTGATATGTAAAAGCAATCCAGTGGCAACAGTGTTACCAAGGTTAACACATAGGTACTTGACACAGTAGAAAACATGGCGATCTGGAACTCAGAAAAGGCTGTTCTACAATAGTGTAACATAGGTACCAGCATGTGTGATGAAGCAAGTACCTGCTATATGTAAGCTGGTCATTGCAGTTTGAACATGTAGATGTACATTGAGCCAAACATATGACAGAAAACTGATTAATTCAAAAAGACATGGCAATCCATTTCCCTGTTAATAGGCCAAGATGAAAATTTTTGTAAACAAATATCACCTTACCAGAAGATGAAACTGCATTCCAGAGCCAAACAGCTCCTTGAAAACATCATACGTGAGCCTTTTCACCCAGCAGTCAATGTGCATGCGCTCTCTACCAAAGCGGATCGTTTCAGCCTGAAAGTCTCCATCCTGCACATAAACAAATTTCAATTGTTCCAAGTTGGCATCATTTTAGGCACCACATACAGCATTAACCCACAATTAGAACATAAGTACAACTGTAAAAGTATTAGTATACCTCAACAGCTCTGAGTACATCCCGGAAAACCGAGCGTTGCTTTCGTCTGTCTACTTTGGCTCTGTGTTTATTGCAGTCAGTAGCCAAAGCTTTCAATGTCTGAGTCAAAGGTTCGATGTCTTCATAATAAAAATCCTAAGTGGCAAAAAAAATATTTAGTACTAGTTACAAAAGCTTACACCTAAAAAGAGGGTAAAAGTGAAAATCAAAACACTTGTACATGCAACCTGAATTTTCTCATGCTGTGTGTCACCGCTCTGAGCACAGCCAATTGAAAAAGATCAAACCTAGCTACTGCTGCATCATATGTAGAATACAGCCATTTGGCTTAATCGGTGGTGGTAAAATTTACTTGAAGCAGCCTGAAAATGTTACTTGCCCATTATGTTGACTGTTTTTAACCTCCCTAGCGGTCTGATTATGTCAGTATTTCTGTGCCCAAAGCAGTACTTCTGCATGGAAATATGTAGTTTTTTTATTGTAGGCCTGTAATTTTAGGAATAACTCACTGAAATCTGTCCGAACAAGAGTCTAGTAAACATCCCGGGTACGTTAAAATTTTAAACATGAAATCATAAAAAGTTATTAAATAATAATAAATTCAATTCAATAATCTACTCAAACAAAAACACTGAAATTTGAAATATAGCGCCAAGTTCACACATGACTGAGCAAAGTCGCAAAATCGTTTTCAGTGTCTTGACGAATTTCCCTATGAATCATCATTCAATTCTACAAGTGGTTCTAATTTAATATCGCTGTGTTCTAGCTGGTCTAAAACCACTTTTGACCTAAAGGGAAGCTTTTTGGACACCATGGACATTTCTCAGTATCCAGGCAGAAAGAACAGTAAATATGCAGGCAGGGCACAGGATAAAGCACTAGGGACAAAATGTGAAATGCTTTGATACAGTAATGTTTTACTATGTGATTTTAGTGTATTTAGTGAATGTCACTGACATTTTTCTGTTTCAATATTTTTTTATTGAAAAAGTTTTGTTTTTTAAGAATACAAGCTATAAATACACCCACACAGAGGCAAAGCAGAATAACAGACATCCTGCTGACTTGTATTCGTCTAACGAAATGTCCAATGATATCAAGGGACGGCAAAAGCCGAACCAAATAGCAGCAGTAATCCAACATATCGGAAAAAAAAAAAAAAAAAAAAAAAAAAAAGGTTAGAAGAAAGGAAAAAGAAAATAGAACAAAAAGAGGAATCAAAGAAAGCATGGAAGGGAAACTAAAAAGGATAACGGATCCAGGGCTAGCACAGCCAGTGACTATAAGAGGCTATAACTAGTAGGAGGTAAGGATGGCAAGGAATAACGTATCCAAGGTTCCCAAACCTCAAGGAATCTCAGATGAGAATCATGAAGAATGCTAGACATCTGTTCATTGAACATAGCATTCATCCGGGTCCTCACCCCCTGGAAGACAACCAAAGGGGTTCTCCAAGCTTGAGCTATAGCACGTTTGGCCAAAATAAATAGGTAGGATGCCAATTTCTGCTGCGACCTAGACAGACCCAAAATTGGGCAATGCAGGAGGGCCACCCCTGCATCCCTACGGACCGTAATATGAAATAGCGTTTTTAGCAAACCAAAAACCCTAGAAGAGAAGCCTATCAATCGCAGGCACGACCACCAAATGTGCAAGACGTCCCCGTGTAGACCACAGTTCCGGAAACACCTATCTCCTCCAGTCGGATTAAAGTGAGCAGTCCGAGCCAGGGCCCAGTACCACCGCAGTAGAACTTTGTAGGCTGGCTCAAGAGTGACTATTGAATGAACATTTCGCCACCATCCCCCAGGCTTAATGCCAATCCTCCGCTGCAATCGAGACTTTGACATTTAAATTTCCCGCCAGTTCCATCCCCTGTACTTCCTGACGTCGCAGGGACTGGAACCCGGAAGACAGATGCAGGAGCGAAGGACAACGCAAGTGCAGAAGGGATCTTGAAGCAACGCTGCAAGGTATTCCCGAGTGTAGCTCAGGGTTACCGCTTGTGGTGCGGATACTTCTCCCCGAGCTACACTTGGGAATACCTCCAGGGAGGTTAATACATGAGTCACTGAGCAACAACCGGTATGCAAATCATAAATGTAAGAAGTATCAGTTACTCAACCACATGCTTGCTAAGCAAAAGGGTGACAGCCAAGCAGCTAGCATTTTAAGTACATACAGGTTTTAACATTTAAAGGCTAGCAATAAGTCCCTAACATGAATCAAGTTGATCTTCCACTAGCTTTGTGTTTTTGGCTTAGGGACTAGAAACCAATGGACAGCCAGGTAAGTAGTACTTTTAAGATATGATCTTAAGTGGCAGACCCCAGTTTTTCACACAACAGGTTCACTTTATAATGCTTAATATCTAAAAATTGCAACCCAGGATGTAAGTGTAAACTACAAATATTCATACCCCCCACCCAACCAAAAAACTCCCACCCCCACATTTTCCAACTGGTTACTAAAAAACAAAATTCCACCATATCTAAAAAGCCAAACTATGCAGAAGGCCTTTCCCATTGGTTGATGTCCATCCAGGCCAAACCTGTTGTACATTGAATGGAGCTCATCTGGCATTCCATTAATGGGACATACAGTCAGGTCCATAAATATTGGGACATCAACACAATTCTAACATTTTTGGCTCTATACACCACCACAATGGATTTGAAATGAAACGAATATGATGTGCTTTAACTGCAGACTGTCAGCTTTAATTTGAGGGTATTTACATCCAAATCAGGTGAACGGTGTAGGAATTACAACAGTTTGCATATGTGCCTCCCACTTCTTAAGGGACCAAAAGTAATGGGACAGAATAATAATCATAAATCAAACTTTCACTTTTTAATACTTGGTTGAAAATCCTTTGCAGTCAATTACAGCCTGAAGTCTGGAACGCATAGACATCACCAGACGTTGGGTTTCATCACTGGTGATGCTCTGCCAGGCCTCTACTGCATCTGTCTTCAGTTCCTGCTTGTTCTTGGGGCATTTTCCCTTCAGTTTTGTCTTCAGCAAGTGAAATGCATGCTCAATCGGATTCAGGTCAGGTGATTGACTTGGCCATTGCATAACATTCCACTTCTTTCCCCTTAAAAAACTCTTTGGTTGCTTTTGCAGTATGCTTTGGGTCATTGTCCATCTGCACTGTGAAGCGGCGTCCAATGAGTTCTGAAGCATTTGGCTGAATATGAGCAGACAATATTGCCCGAAACACTTCAGAATTCATCCTGCTGCTTTTGTCAGCAGTCACATCATCAATAAATACAAGAGAACCAGTTCCATTGGCAGCCATACATGCCCACGCCATGACACTACCACCACCATGCTTCACTGATGAGGTGGTATGCGACGGATCATGAGCAGTTCCTTTCCTTCTCCATACTCTTCTCTTCCCATTACTCTGGTACAAGTTGATCTTGGTCTCATCTGTCCATAGGATGTTGTTCCAGAACTGTGAAGGCTTTTTTAGATGTCGTTTGGCAAACTCTAATCTGGCCTTCCTGTTTTTGAGGCTCACCAATGGTTTCCATCTTGTGGTGAACCCTCTGTATTCACTCTGGTGAAGTCTTCTCTTGATTGGTGACTGACACACATACACCTACCTCCTGGAGAGTGTTTTTGATCTGGCCAGCTGTTGTGAAGGGTGTTTTCTTCACCAGCGAAAGAATTCTTTCGGTCATCCACCACAGTTGTTTTCCGTGGTCTTCCGGGTCTTTTGGTGTTGCTGAGCTCACCGATGCGTTCCTTCTTTTTAAGAATGTTCCAAACAGTTGTTTTGGCCACGCCTAATGTTTTTGCTATCTCTCTGATGGGTTTGTTTTGTTTTTTCAGCCTAATGATGGCTTGCTTTACTAATAGTGACAGCTCTTTGGATCTCATCTTGAGAGTTGACAGCAACAGATTCCAAATGCAAATAGTACACTTGAAATTAACTCTGGACCTTTTATCTGCTCATTGTAATTGGGATAATGAGAGAACAACACACACACCTGGCCATGGGACAGCTGAGAAGCCAATTGTCCCATTACTTTTGGTCCCTTAAGAAGTGGGAGGCACATATGCAAACTGTTGTAATTCCTACACCGTTCACCTGATTTGGATGTAAATACCCTCAAATTAAAGCGGACAGTCTGCAGTTAAAGCACATCTTGTTCATTTCATTTCAAATCCATTGTGGTGGTGTATAGAGCCAAAAATGTTAGAATTGTGTCAATGTCCCAATATTTATGGACCTGACTGTAGCTTGTGAATGCCATTAGGCAAAAATCAAACTGCATGACATTACACCAACTACAAAAACAACAAGTTTCTATGCACAGAAATACAATAAAAATATGTAAAGCTAGTTCTATACACCAGAAATTGGACACATTTTTAGAGTTACTAATGCCCATTGGGGGGGAGGGGGGATTGCTATACTTACCTGCTCTGTGCAATGCCACTTCTTGGGTTTTCTGCTAGCACTGCGTGATCTTTGGTGTCTGCCCCTATAGCAAGCGCTTTCTATCAGGGCTGACGTGCAGGCTCACTCCCAAGCCAGATTGTTTTGACAAATATGGTGCGACTCAACCCCGCCCCCCTGAATACGACTGACTCAGGAGTCAATGGCTGCCTCCATGTGCAGGGAGGACAGAGTGCAGCAACGCTGCTCTTGGGCATAGCACTGGATTGTGATTGGGCTCAGGTAAGTATTTAGCAGGGGTGGGGCGAGAACTGATCATGCAAGTTTTTTTTTGCTTACTGCAGAGAATGCATTTACAACCCCTTTATAAAAGAACCTCTGTACATTTGTACAAAAAAAAAAAAAAAAACCAGCAAGTGCCAGCATACATCATATCTCTCTACCACAGAGGAAATATAAATTAGGGCACCTAAAATAAAGGTGAACTTTTCCCTATTGGGTACTTTATCCTAAAGTAAATCTTTTTTTCTGTGCTTAACGCCTTTGATTTCCTCCAATCGTTTCCCCCAATTGTGTTCAATTCAGAATGCATAAATATCTCAAGGTGTGGAATTATGGACTATTACCTGCTGAAATCCCTATTGCCAGCTCAAAATGCTTTACCGAATTTATGTTCAGCCTGATGCTAGTGTTACTGTAAGAACACATGCAAAATCAC